TACACACACACACACACACACACACACACACACACAAAACATGTACTGCAATTTTTTTTTTTTTATATTAGTAAAGTGTTTACCAATAACAGAACAGTGTCAGTGAGAGGAATATAGAGAGACAGAGATCTACTGTTCAAAAGTACACTATGAAACCTAAATGTAACGTTCTACAAACAGAGGCCAGTGATGACACTCCGACATTTAATACTTTTAGATCACTTTGGATCACGCTCGATTTATTAATCATAGTCCTCACAAGTCAAAAAGCACTTCACAATCACAACTCACAACCTGCCTTGTTCTGTCAGCCTGTGTGCTTTCTGTTTAGCCTGATGCTTATTTGTGAGAACTAGCAAAGGTTTTTTAGTCACACATCTTGATGTTAGAAAAATTAGGTTTTTATACAAAATCATAGATCGATGATAATGGCTACATTATAATTTCATGCAAAAAAGAAATGCAGTCATAAAGATTCACAATCTAGTTTACAGGGATCTGAAGAAGATTCTATTGATTTATTAGTAAATTCAACATTTAGTTTGTGTCCAAATGACACCTGGAAAATCGTGATGATGTACAAGCAAAATGTGCAATATATTATGCAACAGGGCAAAATACACTTGGAGTAGTTATCAGGTATTTATCCACAGGCCTTATCAAAGGTTGCTGTAGGGACAGTTCGATATACTACAAATTAGGGATGCACCGATACCACTTTTTTCAGTACTCGCCCGATACCGATACTTTTATTTTTGGTACTTGCCGATACCGAGTACCGATACCAATATTTTTATTGCATTTGTAAATTTTTTAAATATTGGGTACAGAAACCAAAAGGGTATGTATAACGTTAGTTGGTTAACTTAATTTATCAAATAGATACAGTCAAATCAAAATTTATTCAGACGCCTTCAACATTTCTCACATTATCACAGTTTATTCGCTATAGTTTAGAAAATGGTAATAAAATATGACAAGAACTCAGAGTTAAACTGTGTCAGAACAAATTCAGCTTGATAATGTTAGATAACTTTGATAGAAAGGTATGTAATAGATTACAATCAACCAAAAATTATTCAGACAGCTGCTAGTATGACAGTATTTACACAACTATCAATACTTAGTTGGGCAACCCTTAGCCTTAATGACAGCCTGTAGTCTCCTGGGCATGCTGTCACCCAGCTTCATGAAAACCTCAACTTCAATGTTTTTTCCCAGACTCGGTCTGAATAATTTTTGGACCCAAATTTGTATCAATTTTACTGGTAGTCCACTGTATGAAGAAATTTTGGGTATAATTTGTCACAGTTTACTTTATTTTGCTATCCTCACTTACATAAATGAACTATAGTGTCCTGCACCCACTAGTAAAAAAATATCAAAAATTATATCTGGTCTCTGAATAATTTTTGGTTTCACTGTATATACTTCAGTTATTTTCACACTTAATTATGCCCATTAAAATGTATTTTACAAGTTTTTGTTACTTTCACTGTTCATTTTTTTGCTCTATGGTACATCATCTTTAATTTAATAGCATTAGAGCTGCTCCATTGCAGCGGCTTAGTACTGTAATCACGCGCTTTGCTGTAATAATGCAGGGAACCACTCGTTATAAATCTCCTAACTGTGATATTTTCAGAAATAGAAGTCGCGTTTTTTCATCTGAAACGTGCTGCGATTTATATTCCAAAGCCACTCATATAATGCAGAAACACTCAAGCAAGCAAAACACACGCAACGCCTGCACGTGTTTGTACTGATGCAGAATAGTACAGTCTAGCGCATTTCACACAGGCTGCTAGATTCACTTTCGCTAGAAAGTCGTGTATGCCTAAGGTTGAAAATAAATGATGATTATAGTGAATGCCCCTATGAATGGTTTTATTTGTACGATTTCGTTTTAATTCAAATGATGCGTGTGCTCAGTGAGTGAACATCAAAGATCACACAACAGAAGTGCGCGCGTGCTCTCTCTCGCTCTCTCTCTCTGTCTCTCTCTCGCTCTCTCCCTACCGTTAAGTAACTTGTGCATTGTTTTACTTACTTGTCTTTGACATATCCGACCGAACTATAAACTTTCCAATGATGTCTGTGAGAAAGGTATATTCACTCGACAAGCTCGCGCATCTGCGCCGCCGCGCGCTCAATCCACTCAGCGTGCTTTGTTTATCAGCTCGCACACATCAGCTATACAGGCGTTAATACTGAATGTTTAACATTATATTCATTGCATACATATACTTCGTAGTAGACATCCATAACTCCTTTCTGCTGTCTGTTGTCAGTGTTTCTTTGTTTAAATATGGCGCTTATCACATGCTGTGTGGTATCGGCGTTTGGTATCGGGGCATTTTAACGAGTACGAGTACGAGTACAGGAGGCCAGTATCGGGCCCGATACCGATACCAGTATCGGTATCGGTGCATCCCTATAAACTATAAGTACTACTTTTTAAATAAATAAAAGCATTTTAGCACCCTAATATTGTAGATTTTTAAGTAAGGCAATAAGCAAAAACATTTCTTGGAAAGAAATACTGTATTTTTTCAATAGTACACAACAGTTCATACATATTACAAATATACAGGAGACATGTTACAGACATAGCTCATTTGTTTGAAATGCATCTGTTAAAGTATAATATAAGCCCATATAAAAGCAAAATCCAAAACTAAAACTAACACTTCATTCCCCTCAACCCACGCCCCCCAAAAATTGCTTTACGTAATACGATGTTACACAATAAGAACAATAACAGCATAACTAATGTACTACAAAAAACATTTCTACATTTTTTAGGAAGGACTTTCTTTGAAAGTGTGCTGATTTTAAAGCTCCACCA